CTACAGAGAAATATGTTTTTTTTGAATATTCTTAATTACGATTTATATTACACAAGTATTAGTAAAGACTGATCGCGCAACGCGCGACACCAAAAGACTAGTTATGATTAAATGTGGTAACAAATATGTAATATGTTAGAACACATAAAAGGGCACGACATCATTCAACTTTTTGTTATTGATCAGATAACTTGGATAACTTGAATCCACAAGTAGAAGGAGGATCAGCCAACTCTGGAATTTTTGAAATCCTAATATTGCGTTTGAACATTACCAATATTTTTGCAATCGTTAAACTTGTATATTAGATCTTCTTAAACTCAGTTACAGTTTTGTTACTCTGCAAAAATCAAAAAATACATCGAAAAATAACATTAGCTAGCGGTCACACACCTGAAAAAAAAAAGGGTGTATGGTCTCATTTATACATCGCTTAGCAACACGGCCATTGCATCAATCTGCAACACAAAGTTATTGTAGAAAAAAAAGGATGAACTATCTTAATCAAATTACAAATAAGTGACTAATTTACCTTTCAAACGGGACGGGAAATTGACTTCGCTTATGCACTAAACTGCTGTCACGACCTCTAATTTGGGTTATTTATAGTACATAAGATAACTATGGTCGTAGGGTTTAACATGTTATGAGATATTTTTGGTAAATATTTTATATGAGTAATTATATGATTTTGTGAATAGGTTAAAACTTTAGGCTTTACTGATCGTATTTGGAGCAATTAATTAACATATTTGGGGAGTTTGTGAATATGGACGGAATATTATTCTAGTTAATTTATCCATAATTTTTTTAAATAAATTTCATTTATTAATTTTTGGATGTGGGAGGGAATTAGGGTGATCAATTTAAATCTCATTATTTTTTAATTCTAAAATCACATCATGATGTGTCATAAATTTGGAAGTCATATCTAGAAATGATATTTATTGTGATTTTTTGAAAATTTTGAAAGCATTTAGAAACGTTCAAAATCACGGATGATGTGCCATATGTCCAGACCATGTTCAATGTTAACTAATTATTATGTTTTTTTGTTTACCTTGGTTAATGAAATATATATGAGTAAATAAGTTAAATTAAATAGTTACCATTTTTTTTACTATATCTAATTAGGTTTGATTTTTATGATTGTTTGATTGGACATCTCATTATGTGACACGTGTCCGAAAAGTTTATTCTCTTAATATATAGGATTAGAATTTAAAACTTTTAAATGTATTCAATTTATGTTCGCTTATTTAAACAGTTACCATATTATTACTCTTACAATTACTAATTTAGTTTTCCACATATTTCATTTTAGCCCTATTTATTATAAAACTTTCAAATTCTAATGCATTCCTCCAAATCTCTAACTTGACATTTAATATTCTTGTCTTATTTATTAAAAATATGTCAAGTTTTGGGAATGACTATTTGCAAAGTTTTAGTGATTTTGTTGCTGAAAAAATAATATTTTTCATAGCAAGGACCAAAGTTACAATTCTATAGGACATTGATTAGAACTTAGGTTCAAATGTCATTCCTTTGTTTTTTTAGGGTTAGTGAAATTCATTAATTTGTTGGGAATCCGCTCAACATGGGAATAATATCCCAATATTTTTCAAAATCCTTTTCGGCTTTCCTAAATGTGCTAGAGCATGGAAAAATACATTGAATCTTCAGTTTAACCCATTTGCAGTTAAATTCTACATGATGTGGGAAATGAGTTTCAAATGACATTCCTAGTTTTCCTTATATGTATATCCGAATTCTTTAAATTTCTTAAACATGCACTTGAGTCATTTCTTCTTAGTTATACCTCTTAATTCGACTTATTAGGTTCATAATATTTTTTCCCGTGATTTCATATTTGTCCTATAACTTCAATTTTGCTTGCTTTCTACTTCTCAATGAAATGTTTTTTTTTTTAATGCAATTTCCAATTGCAACTATTAGTCCAATTTTTAAGGTGCATAATTGATGCTGATTTTTGTTTTGGGGGAGAAGAAATTGGACTTAGCGAAGAACATAGTTTGATTGATAAGAGGATGCAAAAATGTATAGTATAGCTAAGTTTACAATCATTTGCTTTCTTCATGGACTATTTTTCTCTTAATCACCTTTAATTTTCAGTGGTTAGTAGTATATTGTATATGTAACTGTAACAATAGTAATATGCACTTATCGTTAAACTTAAAACTTTTCTATCTTCAGATTAGTGGTGAATTTAAGAACTTCTACACATATTAGTAATAGTTTTATTTCTTGTCGAACTGATTCTGATTATTTCAATAGTATTTTCTTAAATTTTGATGTACCTATTTTATGGTTTATTAATTTATTTGCTCAATCATGTTGTAGAATTTGGCTTGCTTTGGTAATTGGTCAACTATTTTCTTTTCTTCTTTTTTTTTTGCTTTTGCAAAAATTAGTGCTAAATGATTTGGGGGAAAAAATAGTGATAAATGGTTGAGTCTTGTTTTTATATGGTGACTAGAAGCGTTGATTATAAAAATAGCTAAATGATTTGGGGGAAAAAATAGTGATAAATGGTTGAGTCTTGTTTTTATATGGTGACTAGAAGCGTTGATTATAAAAATAAAGGGGACTAAAAAGTATCGTTTGGAAAAATGTTGGGCAAATAGAGACTTTCTCCCTGAAATATATTTCATTACGTTCGTTTTACCTTCCACGGCAGTATCTGGTTCTTCGCATCAGCAAGTTTATTGTTGAACCCTAAGTTCTGCAATAGATTCAGTCCCGGTCTTCCCCAGGTTTGTTCTTTCTACTTCTCCTTCTTCATTATTGTTTTTTTTTGTTGGCTACTTTTCTTTTTGAAATTGATATTGATATTTTTTGTTTTGCTTCTTTTACTCCTTCCCTCTGAAATTCTTTGTTTTTGCGAACCGATTAATTGACGGTATGGGATGAAAAGCTCGAATTATATGGTGTTTTTGTGCTGTCGGTTTGAAAATTCTTTTTTTTTTTTTTAAATGGGTTTAGGGTTTATGGTTTAGGATTGAAGATTTAGGGTTTAAACGACATGGATAGTTTACCCTCACCGCGTTAGATATCAAGATAAAGTGAAAACCATATCATGCCTTTACTTTTTTCTGTCTTTATTTTCTTGTGCACTGTGAACAAATTCATTTGAATTTATAGAATCCTCCCCTGTTTGTTTTCTATCTGTTGAACCTATATTAAGAGGGAGGAGCAAAGAATTTGATTGCCTATATTAAGATCAAGGAGCAAAGCATTTGAGTACTGTGAATAATTCATGAAAGGATTACAATCTGAGATGTCTGTTCTTCGATGAAATCTTTTATGCCTTTTATTACTTTCGTGTGAAATTCATGTTAAAACTGCTGTCTTACTGTGGAATTAGTGTAATGTGTTCCACAGAAGGGTTAGAAAACCCGCATCAATGTGTAGTACAAAACTTGGCTGTTAAAACAAGTTTTTTGGGTGGCTTGTCCCTTAACCATGCCAAGTAAAATGAATACAGAAACTTTTATGGCCATAGGAAGTTGCTGGCTGGAATATTGCACTTCCAAGATGTTTTCTTGTTGTTTGAACCCAAACGGCTAGCTAGTTTCATTCAAATGAATCCAAAATTTTACTTAGGGAAAACAGGAGCATGTCCTTAAATTCTGAATCAGTATGACTAACTTCATCTGAAAAAGCTCTCTCAATTTGGCAAAGAAGTACATGCAAAGCTGACTCTAGCTCTATACTAGTTTCGGAAAATCTCAGTTAGGTTTGGTTGCAAGAAATGAATCTGAGTCCAAAAAGAACATTGGATATAGATAGTTACAAGTTCACTTCTGATCTTGACTTCCTGGTTCAGTTATTGGAGGAATCTTGTTTCAGCAATCAAGTGCTAATCTCACCGCCACTCTTCTGTTATTTTCTCAAAATTCATAAAAATGTTCTTTTCTTTTTCTTTTTGCTTTATGTGATATCCCTTTTTACTCTGTATATTAGCTTCAAACGTGCATGTGAAATGTTTATCTGTTATATTCTACTTTAGATTTTCAGGATGCGGTGTATTCTTTGGATGCCATTACACTAATTCCTTTCTGTATTCTTATGTAACTTCCCCTGACGAGAATTGCAAAACGTAAATGTGTTCTCAAATGTTTCTATCATCTATTTTGGTACGGATGATTTACTAGGATTTTTTTTTTTTTTTGCTGAAACAAATGTTGGAATTCTATGACCTTTATTTTGCTTTCTTTAAGAACCTTTATGAATAAGGTTTTCTTTTATTTTAAAAAAAAAAACTGCATCAAGGATTTCAAGTGGTTGGACCCTTGAACTCGGGGGAGTAGAATCTCGTATTGATGCTTCGATTTGTCTCTGATTGTTATTGTTAGTGCCCTGAAAGTGAGTGCTTACTCAGCTTTTATTTGCTGGTGCTTATGATACTAGAAATGTACATTAGATGGGTTATGTAGATTAAATTGCTACTCAAGTGGTAATAAGTTTATCTTGGTCTTTGGGATCAAGTCATGTGCTTTTTCATGTGTGTGATGTATGTTACAAAGATAACCTCTTGTATTGATGGTCTCTCTTACTAAACCCTATCATGTTACATTTCTTTAATCTAACGCTGTGACAATCTTTGCATTATTTAGCCAAGAGTTTTCAAATTCTCTTTTCCTACACAGCTTTGTTTATGGGTTATGAACTGAGAAATGGGTATCTGTACTGTTGGGGTCTCTCTTTTAAGATCATGGGTTCTCTTTTTTCTGCTATGCTCAAAAGAAAGGTTAGGCACAGTTGTGTTGCTTAGCTGAGCCATAGTTCTGAAATTATCTGTTCATGTGTTCTGAATTAAAAATGAGTGTTTCAAGTGTTTTGTTTGCAAAATATGCAGCTTTACTGGATGGTGAAGGTTTCTTTTGGAGCTTAATGTATTGACAGAGATCATTTGTCTTATTACAGGCTAAAGGTTGATCTATACCCTTACTGTTGGGCATCAACTGAGATCCAAGATGCAAACTGAAAGTGCTTTGTCTGTGTTTGGTTCAAGGCCAATGGAACTGTCCACTGTAGTAAATCCTGGCCCTGATAATGGAAAGCAGAGAAAATCAAGTTTAGAATCACCAATCATGTTATTGTCGGGTCATCAGAGTGCTGTATACACCATGAAATTCAATCCTGAAGGAAACATCATTGCATCTGGCTCACATGACAAAGAAATATTTCTTTGGCATGTGCATGGTGACTGCAAGAACTACATGGTTTTAAAAGGACACAAGAACGCTGTTTTGGATGTCCAATGGACTACGGATGGGTTGACAATAATCTCTGCTAGCCCTGACAAAACGTTAAGGGCATGGGATGCTGAGACTGGAAAACAAATTAAAAAGATGGCTGAACACTCCTCGTTTGTGAATTCTTGTGCTCCTGCTCGGAGAGGCCCTCCTCTTATTGTCAGTGGTTCAGATGATGGTACTGCAAAACTTTGGGATATGCGTCAAAGGGGTGCGATACAAACGTTTCCAGACAAATACCAAATCACTGCAGTTAGTTTCTCGGATGCATCTGACAAGATATACACTGGAGGTATTGACAATGATGTCAAGGTATGGGATCTGCGCAGGAATGAAGTTACCATGACACTTCAAGGCCATCAGGACATGATAACAGGTATGCAGCTGAGTCCAGATGGATCCTATCTCCTTACAAATGGCATGGACTGTTCCCTTCGCATATGGGATATGCGCCCATATGCACCCCAGAACCGTTGCGTGAAGATTTTAGAAGGCCACCAGCACAACTTTGAAAAGAACTTGTTGAAATGCAGCTGGTCGCCTGATGGAAGCAAGGTAACTGCTGGAAGTTCTGACCGCATGGTTTACATATGGGATACCACTTCACGACGAATTCTATATAAGCTTCCTGGTCATTCTGGATCTGTTAATGAATGTGTGTTCCATCCCAAAGAACCTGTAATTGGTTCCTGCAGTAGTGATAAGAACATATATTTAGGTGAGATATGAATCGGGTTATGTTTGATAGTTGTTAGCCAAAACACATGGAAGTTAATCTAAGATGGTAGCTCGATGCGGTTATTTTGCTAAATCTGTTGTTCTTCGGCTGTATGTATTTTTGGTATCAGATACAATATTTAGACCAGTAATGTGCTCCTGATCTAACCTAAAACCTTGCAACACATCTTTCTGTAGGGATTGGATCTTCGGTTTTTGGAATGGTTGGTTGATTTGTTGCTGTTCAGTACCTATAAATTTTCACAGCTTTTTTTTTCCCCATTGACTGCTGTCAACATTTTCCATTTTGTTAATCTCAGTCCCTATGTTTATATAGACATTTCAGTTTTTATTTTCTTTTTTGCCATATGGAAAATAACATTCAATTTACATCTCAACTGATTTTTTTTTTTTTTTTTTAAGAAAACTCTTATGCAAAATCAAACTTTCAAAGTTCCATATCAGTTCCTCCAACTGCAACTCATAACTTTCATGTGATTGGAAAGCTCATGAGCAATAATTTCCCGTTACAAGAAAAAGAAAAGAAACTAAACTCAAATTTCCGAAGGAACATGAACAATAATAATGATGAAGAACAAACAAACAGACAAACAAAAAGGACAAATATACTACTAATATTTTTAAAGATTATACTTATATTTTTAGATGTAGTTTTCATTGGATCATTCGTTGATTAATTTTATTTTTGACAATTAATTAAGTTTTTAAAAAATGAACTTTGGGATCAGTTCTTAATAATTAAATATTATTTGTTTGACTTTTAATTCCCAAACAATTCAGAAGATTGCCAGCAGACAAGCAAAAAAAAGGCCCCAGCCAGCAAAGAAAAGCACCTCCCAAAATAGCCGTTGCAGAAAAGGCCTAAAAAAATCCTACTGTATTATTACACAATTCTATTAGTACAAAACTAGCCGTTAAATAATTCACAACGGTCAAATTCAAATCCCCCCCACCCCCAATCAGGACTTTAAATACCCAAACTTCCCCCTTTACATTTCTTCCATCAATCTAGCTCTGTAAATACAAGAAATCCCCCTGCTTTTCTCTGCAATCTCAGCACAAATTTGGCATCCAGGTTCTCCAAGAAAGCAAAAAAGAAACCAACTTTCTTCATCAATTTCCAAATGGGTCTCTCAATTAACAGCCCAGATTGCAACAATGTCGCCCAATCTCACTACCATACCCACAAGATCTTCCTTTTGAGCAACTATGTTCTGTTGGGTGCAGCCTCTAGTTGCATCTTCCTGATCCTTTCCCTCCGTCTGGTTCCGTCGGTGCCCGGTTTGATGCTCATTCTCCTCCATGTTCTCACCATCGCCGGAGCAGTTTCCGGCTGCAGCGCCGCCTCCGGTGGTTCCAACAAGTGGTATGCTCTGCACATGGTGGCCACTGTTCTGACTGCGATTTTCCAGGGCTCTGTTTCTGTGCTTATTTTCACCACCACTGGTAACTTCTTGGGAGCCCTGAAATCCTATGTCAGGGAAGATGATGCTTCCATCATTTTGAAGATGGTTGGAGGGTTGTCCATTGCCATCTTCTGCTTGGAATGGGTTGTTCTTGTTTTCGCGTTTGTGCTGAGATACTATGGTTTTGTGGAAGGAGGCAACAATGGTGGAAACAGAGTTCAAGATGTCGGGGACAAGAGCAAGTGGGCTTCTCCATTTCAACCATTCCAAGTCTAGATTTTTCCCTTCTGGATTCATGAATTATCTACTGGGGAATGCTGAATTCTCATCAAAATCAATTCTTCCATGATTGATTCTCTGTTTGTTGTTGTTAATTGTTTGAAATATTCAATTCATTGGTTCAATTTCTTGTCCTCTGTAATAGTAGCATAGATTATTATGCTTGGTTTTCTAGGGTTATTAAAATGCTCCTTTTTTTTGAGTTGATTATTAATGAAATTGATTTATTATTTTAGCTACATGTTGGTTCTCTGTTTGATTAGATGGAACTCTGTTTTTTTGTGGCCCTTTCTGAACTTGACTTTCTCTTCTTATTACACAATCTATGGCTCTTATTAGATTAGAAGTATTTTTCTATTAAGGAACTGAATAATATGCCAATTTTTGATTGCTTTGCTAACGGTGGGAATAGTTTACTGCGTATTCTTTACGGAGGACTAACTTGAAAGACAACGACCTGAATTTGGCCATGTTTCTCGACCATGTACATCATTCCTTTTCATAATTTGTTTTTATAAGGACAAATGTAGTCTAGGAATCTTATCATAAATTGTGCTCCAAACAAAATGATTTTACCTCATGAGATTTATCGACCGTTATCATCCACTCTAACATTGATTTTAATGACATGATGATTAGTGGTTTTGGACATTTTTGCTATACTATGAAAAAAGTAAACAAATTAATCTCAACAATGTTGTTTATCAAAAGGTGTTTCATTCTCAATCCTAATAATACTAGTGATGTCTGGTCGCGCAATGTGCGACCTTGGCCCAGTCTATCTGTAGATCTTAGAAATATTTATATTTGAAAAAAAAATAAAATTTTGTATTTGTAGCGATATATTTTAGAAATGTTTGAAGGATTTAGAAATGTTTTATAAGTGTGATCATAGAAATATTTGTATTTCACACACAAAAAAAAAAAAGAAATTGTATTTCGCCATGTATGTTTTAGAAATGTTTTATAAGTGTTACTTATTAAATATAAATAGCGTTAATCGAATAAATGTGTTGAAAAATGTTAAATAAAATATAAAAGCATCCTAATAAATTTAAATATTAGTAAGATGATTTATTGATGTTCTCCATTGGTCGTGCCAAATCAATACTTAGTTTTGGAGATTTTTAATAGTTTTGTAATAAGTTTCATCCGAATGGTATACGCTTAAAACAAAGTTGACACTTTGTAACAAAAACCTAATTGATCAATTCAATTTAAAAAACCACTCTAGTTGAATGAAATATAAAGAAAAAATAAAATAAAAAAAAACGTGTCACGTAAAGTGGAAAGGGAAATTTAGTAATTTAGTTATGGTTAGACAAAAGGGCAATTTAGTACTTTCTTCATGCCACGTGGCAATCATATGAGGTGTTTGAAAGGGAGGTTTTTGTTTCTAATATAGTAGGATGTTGCAATTCTTTTTTATTGAATTATTGTTGCCATGTTTTGTTATTATTAATTTCGTATCCCACAAATTAACCAATGCGTGACACCTTAAATGAGCTGTGTATATCAAAAAAATATCTTTGTTTGGCTCTTTCCAAAAGTCCCTTTCGGGGTCTTCCTTTTGGATTTTCGACCCTTTCAGTAACGGTGTCGTTTCAGTTCACTCAACGGCCAATTTGCCAATATCTACTAGACTACTTCACTAGGAAAAATACAGAACCAAAACCTCAAAACCCCCCTAAAGAGATAAGAGAAGAGAAGAAAAGCAGAGGGAATTCAGCAATGGCTGCTACTTCCTTCGTCAACAAGCCCTTTACATCCCTTTGCAATTCCAAGTCTGAAATTCGCCCAGAAATTGGTTTTCTCAAAAGGGTTCCTTTTGGGGTCAACTCGTTGAGCTTCAAGAACACAAATTGTAGTGTTTCTGGCCAACAAGTCTTCAAGAAGAAAGCTTTATCTTCTATTTCCTGCAAGGCAGTGTCCGTTGAACAGCCGACCCAAACAGAGATTGAGGGGCTTAACATTGCAGAAGATGTTACTCAGGTTTGTTTCTACCATCAGTTCTTCAAATTTTCAGTCGAATTTTGTTTTTCTGATTATCTTTCTGTTTGGAAAATGGTGGGATTGTGTGTTTTGAAACTGATTTGTTTTGTCATCCTTAGGAGGGTCTGTTGTTTCTTTATCTTTAGGAGTGATGAAGCGCCGTTAGTAAATTGTTGCTCCGATGTTGTCTTTTTATTAGAGGATGATGTTTAATTGATTTTGACAGTTATTATTCTTGTTGGCTCTGCTATCCTGATATTTTCCATCTGGGGAGTTGGAATCTTGAAACAATAATTTGGTTGAATATTTGTGGAGTTTGAAAGGTCTTCGGCTCTGGGCTTTATTGCACATCCTTTTGAATTGTTTCTTTGGTTCAAGTGTGTGGAGTATGGAAGGTCTTGGCATATATTGCACATATCCTTTTGAGCCGTTGGCTTATTTTGGATCGATCAACAAATGTGGTTTGGTCATTGAATATTAAAATTCAACTTGGATGTAAAGCTTTTCTTTTTCTTCTTTTCTTCTCTTTCATGAACAGAGTGGTATCATTGTTTGTTACTATTGTTGTGCAGCTTATAGGGAAGACACCTATGGTGTACCTGAATAGCATAGCAAAGGGTTCACTTGCACATATAGCAGCAAAGCTTGAAATTATGGAGCCATGTTGCAGTGTGAAGGATAGGTAAGTGAATTAGAAAATTAATTTCATAAGTATTCCTTCTTGAACTTCAAAGTCTCCAATTCAGTTCCAAAAATCAGACGATAAACATTTATGTGAAACCTTGGGAGTTGATGGCCTGTTGAATCTTACATTTCATACTTTACACTCGATTCCAGGCTCTGCATGTTGTGGATCATCCCTATAAATTAACTGGAATTTCCGTTATGATAATTATTCAGGCCAGTTCAATTAGGATAGCTGGAACTGGTGCTTTCTCAGATAGGAAAAAGCTACAGGAGTAGTTAATGCACATTTCTTCTACCTTCTCTTTCAGCCTGAAGGGACTTCAATACTTTTGCAAGGAACTGCAGTCTATCATAAAATTTGCCAAACATCATTTAGCGAAAACTGGAAAATAGGACTTTGGATTTACAAAATTAAGACCTTTAGACCTAATAGCTTCAGGAAGCCTTAAAGTCGCTTCCTTAGTGTGCCTGAGAAAGTTATCTAGAACTTTCAATATCTTCCGGTCTCTCTACATTGCAAGATATATTTCAGTGTCCTGGATCTGATTTTTATGATAATGAATTTTGCTATAGTCTACTTCTAAAAGTTTTGGTCTTTTTGCCTGGCTGTTGGCATGCATCGTGGCATAAGAGTGTTGTGCTACCTGAATGCTGGTTTTATCAACAATTTCTTAAGCAGCATGTTACATAAATCCTGACTCTCTTAGTCAATGTTTTACAAATTAAACCAAAAGGTTTTTACAACTTAAATGAGCAAGTTGAAACTAGATAATGGGTGTGCTAATTTGTTGGGTTTTACGAAAAAGATATGAGGTGCATCTTCTTTTCTATCCTTACAGGGTATTTTTGGTTTCAGGATTGGATACAGCATGATAACTGATGCTGAGGAGAAGGGAGCTATTGCTCCGGGGAAGGTAAAACGCTTTTGTCCAATATCCCCCTTTTTTCCAAATATTTCTATGAACATGCTTTTTGGATGTCAAAGTACATCTTTTTGGAATTGCCACTTAAGATTTTGAAAAGGATTCCTTATAGTTATAACTGGATGTGAAACACATCTATTGTTCAAAACCAATAGATGGGGAGCTGGGCATGCCATCCTAATTTGACCCGTTGATACAATTATAGGGCAACTGAATCTACAAAGATACTTTATCATTTTATAATCTGTAGTTGAATTTTTGTACGTTGTCCTTTTAATATGATTTTATATATGTGCCCACCATGGGTCTTGGATATTCTACTAGACTGAATTTGTGTACCTTGTGCATTATTCTATTAAATATTGGCCCAGCTCCTTTGGTTCTGTGGTACGTTTGTCTGGGTTTAGCCTTCAGCCCGACATTGCATATTCTATTCAGGACATCAGTATTATGTGTACAGATGTGTTAGTTAACAGTTGTGATGTAATTATCTCTCATTTTAGCTTTACATTTAGGAGCCATTATGATGGTGCAAGTGGAGAATGTGTCAAATTGAAAAATTTGCATTATAAGTTCTGCAGTAAGTTGACGGGAAAAGTTGGATTGTACTAGCATACTATAAGACGTTTCTCCTTGTAATGTTGCTCAAAATCGATTGTTGTTGTCTTTTTGACATCGGTTCTTTTTATAAATTCTATCTTTGTTGAAATTATTCGTACGGGAAAGATCTACCCTAGACACGTCACGTACAAGGAAGAGACAAGTAATTTTGTGTTAACTTTTTTATATCAGTTTTAGTGGAAGGTTTCAAAATTTGTTTTGGCTTGGAAGTCTTGGGAGCTAAGTATGTGCCTAATTGGTGTTGCTCATGGAGGTTCTCTCTCTTTATCCCACATGGGTTACCTCCTCTTGCAGTTTCTAGTAAATTCTATTATCAGTTTTAGAGGTTTCTTCCTTAGCCTTCACGACATGCCTGCTCTAACATCTTCTCAGTTTGAACCTATCCTTACTCTTATGTTCTCCTAATTTCAATAGCCATGACATCCATCCTCTGAAGTTGGAAGTTTTATTTCAGAGAAGAAGAAGGGAGTTAAAGATTCTGAGGCTGGGCAAAATTGCCTGGTAGAAAAGGGAGGAAAGGAAACAAGAAAGAGGTGTAATGTAGGGAATCTTTCTGTGTTTTTTTTTTCTTGGGATTCAGGTCCCATTGATTGAGGAGCTGCTAATCAATGTGTTTACTTGTGGCTAGATTTTTGAATTTAGTGTATTAGCTGAAGGTTGAGATTTGGGTTAACTTAGTTCTTAAAGGAGTGAATTGTCAGATAAGAATTGGTTCATCAAATTTGATTAAAATTTGATTCATCAGAGTGATGTGATGTCACTTGCTGTTTGAAGTGCTACATATTTGGACATATTGTGAGAGAGCAAAGATGCATTTTATAATTGGCACTGATTGAAATCCTGGTGATGTTTGTTTTGCACATTAGGTGTATTACTTACAATAGGCATGGTTACCTTTTTATGTGAAGTAGTTGAACAAAACTATGTTGCTATTCTTCTGCTGTATGTTACCTACTATTGAGAAAGGGAGTTAAAAGATTTTGCAGTGATATGATTGCAATAATTGGGACAATTATTCTGCAATTCCATGATTACGAAAAAAGTTCTATTCTTGTATTCATGGTTTATATGATAGAAGTCAGAAGCAATGAAATATTATTGTGGAAATCGAATATAGTCTTCTTTGGTAGTGAAGTAATACTTTTGGATAGTTTGAGTAAATGGATCTGAATAAGAAATATTATGTTCTTTTAGTTTTAACTAATTGTTGAAATATTTCTGGATTTGGACAAGGTAATGTTTACAATGATATTTTATTGGTTTATTAGTTCAGAAGTGCTTCTGCAAGGTGTTGAGAATATGAAATGACTAAAAAGCGCTTGCATTTTGTGCTTGTGAACTTGGCTACTGCTTTTGTATTTTGAGTTCAATGTAACAAGTCCAAACGTGTAGGCTATTTCAGTGGTTTTCATAGTTTCCAAGGTTTCTTTTATTCCACATGTTGCTTTTGGTTCATAATACGATTCCTTCTGATAATCCATGTTTGTGTTCTGGCTTTTATATATCACTGGCTCTGTATAATTCTTGTTTCATTTTATAATATCACTCTTTCTAGTTGTAGACTTTACGCTAATAACAATTCATAATGATGTCAGTGATTAGAAACAATAGATTCTGGTAAGAAAGAGCATGTCATTGTAGAAGTTCTACTGATATAAGTATCGTGTTAGTTCCTGAGAATTCAAACCGTGTTTATTAGAATATGATTGCTGGTTCGTCAAGAAGAAATATTTATCTAATTTTTCTATGTTGGGGTTGGGTGTATTTTAGAAAGTCTCCAGAAGGTGGGGAAAGATAGATTGAGGGAACTAAAGCAGCGGTAGTCCTCTCTCTCATGAGATTAAATCGCTTGAAAAAACATGATGTATACATGCACACAACGTTGCTGCGTATATCTATTTGTAGTTGTCATTATATCCAGAGAAAAGTTTCTTGTTCAAAGATGTCTAACATCTCTATTTGTAATCTAAAATTAACAAAACCCAGAAGCCTGAAGGCTAAACTCTTGCTGTTGTACTATCGCATATGCAATGCATTCTGACACATATGCAGCTGGGTGAACTGTTTAGCATGATCTTGTTTCTTATCGATAGTGGTTATGATGTGGTTATATGCAACTTGGGGATTTTGAAAATCAATTATGATGATATTCAATTGTTATAGAAGGGCTCTCCTTAAAACATTGGGTGCTGTCTGCTGAGCTTGTTATACTTTTGATGATATATTTTACTGCTTTTGACGTAATCTTGTTTTTTTTACCAATGGTGGTTGTGATGCGGTTTTATGCAACTTGGGGATTTTGAAAAGCAATAATAATGCTATTCAATTGTTATAGAATGGCTGTCCTTGAAACATTTGGTGCTGAGATTGCTCTACTCCATAGTACTGCTTTTGATTTCGCAAAACGATAGATTAGAGAAGATTGAACTTGATTCGCATTTAATATACAGTAACATTTTTGCTTCTGTTAGACATGTGTAGCCTGTATTGTCCTTGCTCTTAAAAGCACCCCAGTTTATTGGTGACACCTGATTTCCAGTATATTTATGTCATTGACTATCCGCAGAGTATTTTGGTTGAGCCTACAAGTGGAAACACAGGAATTGGCCTTGCTTTTATAGCTGCTTCTAGAGGATACAAGCTAATATTGACGATGCCGGCATCTATGAGTCTTGAGAGGAGGGTTCTCCTTAGAGCGTTTGGTGCTGATCTTGTTTTAACTGATCCTGCTAAGGGCATGAAAGGAGCTGTCCAAAAAGCTGAAGAAATTGTGAACAGCACACCTGGTGCATATATGCTTCAGCAGTTTAACAACCCAGCAAACCCCAAGGTAATTCTCTAGATGTTGTTGAGGTGTCTGTTGAAATCCTTTGTCCATTGAAGTACTATAATCCTTTTGATGTCAACTTTCTTGAACTTTCTTTTTAATGTCATTGGGAGCTCACCATCAACCCCTTATCTCCTTTCTTTTCCTCTAGGCAGTAGGAACAAAGCAGATATGAAAAATAAAAAGATGGTTTTTAATATCTTTTTTTTAAAAAAATAAAATTACAAAACTTATATGAAAGAGTTTTTTCCTTTTAGCTTTTGTTGCAAACTATATGAGAGTTATATGGAATTTACTGGTGGAATTATGATTCTTCCCTACAATGTTTGGATGAGTTCCCTTTGTTTTCTTCCATTAGTTTGGCTGCTTTCATTCTAGGAGGAAAGATGGATCATCCTTCTCACGTTTTGCAGATACACTACGAAACAACAGGACCCGAAATTTGGGAAGACACGAAAGGCAAGGTAGATATACTTGTTGCCGGGATTGGCACTGGTGGAACAATTTCAGGTGCTGGCCGGTATCTAAAAGAGAAAAATCCTGCTATTAAGGTGAGCTCTTCTGGGTTCTGACATATTATTTGCATCAGTATAATCATATGATACATTTCACTTAATTTTGTTGGTCCTGTTTTCTGTTCCTTTTTGCTTAACTAGGTTATTGGCGTTGAACCTACGGAGAGCAACATACTTTCTGGTGGCAAGCCTGGTAAGATACATGCAAACAACAGCATGCTTATTTTGTTTGAATTCAATCTTTCTAGTCTTCTAGTGGCTGCAATTTGCAAGTGCAGGCCCTCACAAAATTCAAGGCATTGGAGCAGGTTTTATTCCCAGAAACTTAGATCAAGAAGTGATGGACGAAGTTATAGAGGTATGACATTAACTTTCCAAATTGCTCATTCATTTTTTTTTTTTTTGGTGGTTCATTCATTTGATAGATTCTTTTGTACGTCCTACTTACCGTAGTCAGAGTATGCTCTGTGCTAATGTTATTCTAGCATCTGGTTTTATGATAATTAAATACAAATTTACCATCAGATATCCAGTGATGAAGCTATCGAAACAGCAAAGCAAGTTGCTCTTCAAGAAGGCTTGTTGGTGAGTATTTTTTCTTTCACGCAACAAAACCATGGTGGCAGTGCTTTTATTGTGACGATATTTTGTTTGTAACTCATTCCTTCTTTATAATACTCCATGTTTTAGCCTATTTGCAGTCAACTCTGATTTCCCAGAGTTAGATGTAACATAAGAAGCTCTTTTGAAAATTTACTTCACGTATACTGTATGTGTTATTGGTTATCTGGTGTTTACGTTTATAGTTTAGAAAGGCTCCCTACAATGTCATTCGAGAATAGGAGTTAAAATTATCCGCAGGAGTGGTTGTTGTTGTCCTTTTGTTTTTTACCCTTTCTTTTTTGGTTTTGAATGCTGGGAGTGGTGGTATCAACTTTTGTTATGAATAAAATATCCTTCTGACGGTAAGATGATTCGTAATCTACACATTGACTTTTAATCGTCAGAAGATTTTTTGTTCTCAGAGGTTGTGTTTTTGGTAAATCGGATCTGCTTGCTGGATTGCAAAATTAGCATACATGGGATATTAGTGTGACGTGCACAGTGTAACATGTACTTGTTGATTTTGCTTCATTTGTCACTAGTGAACAAACATTGGCAAAATGTGTATACCCCAGTAATTAAGTCCCTTTTTACAATTAGTGTTTTTTGTTTACTTGTCCAGCCTCCTTTAAAACCCTTTTCTACCATATTTTAAGTTGGAACTCATTCTGTCCAAATGTTGCAAATTCCCCTGTCACTCATTTGCATTGCTGTGTCTAAAAAATAAATTGTTAACCTTTTGTCAGGTTGGGATCTCTTCTGGGGCAGCCGCAGCTGCTGCCTTGAAGGTTGGGAAGAGACCTGAGAATGCAGGAAAGCTTATTGCGGTATGTCTTACTCTGTTGCGTACCATTTTGTTGATTTCAATCTGGATTCTCGTTGTTGTTGGAAGTTAAAAAAATGCAGAAAGTAAAGGACCTATGTCTTGTTACCTTATTATTTTTGTCTGCTCTTAGGGAAAAGTATCTCAACATAGTCAGGGTATACGATATGATTTACTTAATCCTTGGTAAAATATAATCTAGAGAGCTTGCCGTATAATATTCCTGTATGATGACAAATCAACAGCTCAAATGAGTTTATGTATTTTCTGAAAATTAGATTTCAAACACTGCTTAAATGTTATACACTTGCTAACGTAAATATCTCAAGATTGTGGTTTTTTTCCCTTGAGTTACACAAAAATATTTTGACCAAATTATAGTTTTCAATTTAAATATTTGTCATTCTTTAGATTTCAGATTGTTGGGAAGATTGATTTCATCTTTGTCAAAGATTTGATCCTATCTGTGGAAGTTTAATGAAAATGTCCTGTAGACTAATTGCAATCTAGCATCTATTTGTGAAGTTCTTACCTGCCTCGGAAAGATATTACTTATGTGTCTTGAGTTTTACCAGACTTAAGCTGTACAAAATGCACGGGGTTGCTCTTAATAGAAGGCAATCTATGTCTCTTACATTAAATGTTATCTGGCACATATCTTGTTGAAGAAATAAGAAAATCTAGCATATATCTTAAGGCCATTCTTCACTAGTCAATTTGTCATTTCCTTTGCTGAGTTAATGGACAAATTGACGAACACTTCGTTTTCAATCCCTTCACTGGGTACAAAAAATCTTGTAGGTTGTGTTCCCAAGCTTTGGAGAGCGATACTTGTCGACTGCCCTTTTTCAATCAATTCGGGAAGAGTGTGAAAGTATGCAACCCGAGGCTTGAAGTACACACACCATTTGAAGATGATGTTACTCATTGCTAATAAAATTTGTGACGACAATTTACTTGTACAATTCTAGTCTTTTTATTTATTTTTTTATTTTTTTTAACTTCAAACTCTTGTTGGGATGGCATATAGTTTGATAGAGAGCTAGTGAATGGATTCAGTGCCTGATGAATCGTCGAGTGTCGTGAAAAGGGCACTGTTCAAACTCTTCCAGTTTAGAAACTTTTTTTGAAGTGTTCATTCGTTCTAGCTTATTAGTAATTCATATGATGATCAATGTGACTTGGTGAAGTGGTCAAGAATTTACCCTTTCACCATGAATGTCGTTGATTATGAGTGTTGTGAATGACATTCTTCAATCAATGGTGTTGTGATCTAAACAGGTATTTCCTGGGATTCATAATGTATAGGGTGGGATGAAAATTTATACCCAAAGAATGAGATACTTGGTGTCTATCAAACATGAAGTTAGCAAAAAAGACAGCAACAATTGTTTTGAAGTTAGCAAGAACATGACGGTACCTAAACAAACTGCAACTGCTATTTGTATTTTCTTCCAAAGACTTTTTAGATGATAGGGTAGAGATGCAGATCCGTTTTCCAGACCTGCAATGATTACAGTATCTGTCTAAACAAGCTTACACTAATGATCAACGCTACAATGATCCAAGAAACGAGCAGTAACATATGTACACAAGTTTGGAGCATATTTGAAAGGACTGGAGAGTGCTTTCAATAAGATTTGCTTGCTTTTTAATACGTCTGAAAAGATTTATGGGTGGGGAACCAAATACAGCCAAAAGATCAGAAGCATATGATCCAATGTGTTTGATTGCTCCACCAATAGGTTTGTTCTAAAATCAAAATGACCTTGCGAAAGCCTCGAATTCTTCTTGAAATATGATCTAGAGAAGTACATCATACGGGAAAGACGGTAATAACTAAACAATAAAGCTGGCCACCAGCACAAAATGGAATGAAGGTACCAAGAAATGCTTTATCTATTGCTCCTCAAACGTGGAACTAGATACCATACTCCACAAGATAATACAAGTTACAGCGCAACAAGACATCTCATCCAAATGCCGTCTAGGTACAATTTTCAGTCTCAAACTGAGATCTCATTTCAGTTTAATGAACAAGTAGTATTACAAAAGACAGGAGCTGAGTTTTTAACCCCGAACAGACAAAATGAAGGAACCCCCATGATTACCGCTTTCTGTCATGCCACATATACTTTCTAACAGTCCCAATGACTTGCAACACTAGATTGCATAAAAAATCCAGGAGGGAAAAAAAGTTATCTTTTTCTGAAAAGAAAAAATGGGTCATATTCTAAGACATTGGGATCACCACAACCTTCAATCAAACAAAGATTTAACTGTTAAATTATAACAGATTAGATGTCTTATTGACTCCAGATAGAGATGTATAACAGAAGAACACCACTCCAGCAATACCAGCAGCAAAACCATGTGTGGCCCTTCTTGGTTGTCTCCTCACCCCGGATGGTACCCAGATCAATCATCTTATAATCACTTCAACCATCTCTTCCAGTTTTGGTCCCATCATCAAACTGTAAGCACATGGGGGTAAGAACAGAACAACAACGACCGCCAATATGTTCAACATTATCCAAGCTACGATAATGAAGAAGTTCTATAAATCATATGATAGGCAATAGAAAGTACATCTCTACATCTACTAAAAACACACAGACACATCATAAAAGTAAACTATAATAACTTGAAGGGAAGCATGTCGCTCAACGAGTAAAAATTACTAAACATATAGACACATACCTTTAAACCACGATAACCTTTAGATCAGCCATGATGCTGATTGCAAACAGATGCCCGCTATTTCTACAATACGGATATTTGAAGTTATGAACTAAAGATCATACCAGAAGACTCTTCCAGTCCATCCTCTTCAGCTCAGTGTTCAAATGTCGAGGAGCATTGTAATCCACTTCGACAGTATTTTCAACCTGAGAAAAATTGAAACATCGTAAGGCAAGATCCCTAGAGAGGAAGCTCCAAAACCAACTAATAATTTATCATATACCTAACAAATTTTAAATTTCCAACATAATTTTCATCTGATACATACATGTCAAAGATCAAGGTGGGAATAAAACAAGACATGAATTTAGCCTTTATCCAACTAGTGGGATTGGCTTCATGGATCATGTTTCAATAGTTCATTGTGATGACAGAATGATATACTGGTTAACTTATTATCAAATGGTTTCAAAGTAATGTGTAAGACAAGTGAACTAAAGGACAATTTATGGAGAGCCTGGTCAATTTAGACTTTATGAGAAAACTTATTGTGACACTGAGCATTCAAAGATAAAAATAAACGCATTGAGACTATAGAAAAAACGCAACGATTGGCACATTGCATAGATTCTCATTATAGAATTCTAGATGACCTTTTATGAGAAAACTTAATTAGGTATTTAATGAAATATATGCAATAAAACTGTATACAAGAAAACATAAAGGAACTCAGAAACTATCTTGAATCAGGTAGGTTGCGATTTTTGGCCAGGGGCTTATGAATTAACTGCTGACTCCGTCATGCCTTGTGAACTTCCCAAAGAACAACTTAATCCATGTATCGTCACCAAGCATAAACATTTTGAAGCCAATCGAGTAAATGGCGCTTAATTTTCAACAAATGGATAACCACATACGTGACGGTTATTTAGAGGGAAGAATATACACGAAATGCCTTTGAGAAGGACGATAATCAACTACCTTTAAGATTAAGGCTTGTGCATATAAAAATTGAAAGCCACATCCAAACATCCTCCAATCACCCAGGACCCTGGCCTACCAGAACAAAAACCAGCAGTGACCACACATACTTTACCCAAAAAATAAAAACAGATAGGCATTCATTTCAGCAAAAAGTACCCAGCTTCATTGCTTTACGAGCAACCTTGGCACCACGTAAGCAAGCTGAGATTGCTCCAAAATTGCCAACTTTCTGTGAAATGGAGAATGCAATTCAGATCCCTTGCATTGAGCTCCTTCAGCTTGACTCCCAGATTCAATAACCTGCTATCAACAAGAATTAGTTTAGACGAACAACTACATTGTTCTTCAGCTAGGCAGACAATCACAAATTGGCAACTATGGTCAATTTTCTTCATCTATAAAAATACTTAAATTTACGCATCCCAAGAGCAAAAAAACCATATTAGTGGGGCTGTCAAATATACATTCCATGAGTTAAGGAATAATAGGCAGTAAAAAGTTTACAAATTATTACCTTTTCATGAAGACTACTACATGTTTCATCTTCTTCCTTCAGTTTATCTGAAAGACGTGAAACTTGCTATTCCAAATTCTATTCTGAATTTGACTCCCAGCTTTCCAGTCCTTCAATCTTCACTTGTTCAAGTTCTCAAAGTAAGCATTCTACCTCCTGCCTTAACATGTTTTGTGAGCTTGGTTAATGCTAGCTTCAATCAAGCTTTGACTAAGTTAGACAACTGCTCAACTCCGCCAAATCTGGAACAAGGTGGCTCTGCAATAGTGAAGCTGGGGCCAGCATTCAGTGGAAGGAGACTCCAATAACAACCTTCATTATCTACAAAACAACTGTGCCATTGGATTCTGTAAATCCCCACCGGAAAAGCAGATATATCAAGCATGCAAGTAGAAAACCCTTGGCCTATTTGATTAGGTTGAAAATGCAGATATTCTTCCACGGTCAATGAATTAGAGGCCTTGTATTTACTAGACCCGGTCACATACTTTACCAGCTTTCCATACAAGTCTAACATTTCATCATTTTCCCACTTTTCACTGTTCAACCCTGATTGTTCTTTGGAATTTCCTTGGAGAGATTCCATTTCTGTGGTGCAACTAAGGATGCAATACAACTTAGATAGCTGAGTGGGCAAGGAAGATGGCATGTTTTTCACTTGAAGACAGACATTGAGAGAAAGTGGACTACCTAATGGGACAGACATTCCTTCTATGATTTTACCATCCCCATCTGAAATAAATAATTCAGATTTAACATCAGGCCTGATCTGAAAGAAGTGACTGGGACACTTGAAAGGAATTTGCATCCATTTGAAAATTACCCTGAGCAACAACTGAAAACCGTCCACGGCAACGGCTGAAAAACTTTTACCACTGGATATTTGGGCTGCTTCAGTTTTTAAGGTAACAATCTCCCTGACAGCATACCTAGAAATTTTAACAAAGCATCTTGCCCTGCAACAAACACCCGTACCTTTATTTTGGCAGTGGGGCAAAATGCAGCCCGTCGTCGACTCCTTATAAGCTCGCAAAAGCATCAACAGACTTTCCCTGGTTTCAAATTCAGTAAGATTTAACCTCTCCAACAAATCATGTATTAGCATAACATAAAAATGCTTCTCTGAAGTCTCTAAACAAGAATTAGGATTTTCTGCTGAAGCATACAACAATGGAATAGAAAACACAAGGCCAGTACTGAATGCCAACAGGGAGCAACTTGCTGCAAGGGCTGAAATTATCATTGCACTTTTGGCATCCATGCCAAAAAAAGACACCAGTAACAGATCACATTCATTTGCCACTTTCTTCAACCGATAAGATATTCGGGAAAGAGAAGATACTAACGGCCTCAATGTTTCCAGGGATATTAGGCTTTCCTTTAGCATAATTCTATCAGTATCCCGTGTAAATGAAACACCCTCCAAAAGACAAATTATGTCTTTCATAATCTCCAGAACTTTTGCCCGGAGAAACAGAAACCAATCTAGGAATTTGGTGGAAAGCCCAGGAACAGAAGCATCAAGTGTTCTTCTTGCAGCATGGAGACCGTTGCAGGCTTCATTCAATGCTTCAGCATAGTGGCTCCGATTAAACACAGAGGCAATGCCTTCTCCTTCTTGAAATATGGTCTTTTTCAGAGCAATACGCCCAAAAGATTCAAGATGCCCTTCAGAATGTGAGATCAAAGCCAAAGATTTCAGCCAGATGTAATTAGGATCAGACAAGACTAGCTTCGTAAGTTGCTCAAAAATGAAAGTAGCTATGGACCAATGTCCGAGACATGCGGCATGCTTTCCAGCTTGATAGAAAGACCAAAAATCTCTTCTTTCAAACATTTTCTTGGCAGATTCGAATATAAAAGAATCATATTGTTCAAAGAAGTCCCCACAAGATAGATTGTACTTACCGGAATCATCTGTCAGATGATTCCTGTCTAGCCAAATGCAAATATAAGAATTACGAAAGTGCAACAGAAGCATGTATATACTCGGTGTGTACAACTGAAGAGATGCAGAAGGCAGAACATGGTCTACTAAAAGCTTTAAGGGGTTCACGAATTCGTAAGAATCAGTCTGTTCTTCTAGGTATTCTACACAGATATTCGTCATCTTTGCTAGATAAAGCACACATCTCAAAGGATTCAGTGCCTCACATTCCGAGACATCACCGGCCGTTACATCTTCTTTCTCCATGTTTATATCACCCAGAACGTCAACCAGATGCTTCATAAATATGGTAATCTTATCCAGCACCAACCCACACACATCGGAATGAATTTCAATTAGATTAAGTACAATCCTTAGTAAGCTTTTAACTTCTTTCCCTGTTTCTTCACTGGACTGATATTTACTAATGTCCAACTTCATCAGCACAAACATGCGATCCATAACAAATGTAGTTATTTGGTTCGCCAAAATAGACACAATTTCTCCAGATTCTGGCCCATCTTTTCCCAGACACTTGCCTAAAATATCTAAAAGCATCCAAATACTGAATAATCTCTCTGACATGGTTGAAGATTGGAACATATTATTAATAAATACAAACAGCATGGAGAGCACCTCAAGCATTTCAGAGAAATGACAAGAGGGTATGTAATAACAAAGCATCTGATGCAAGACTTTCAAAGCTTTGCCCAATAAAGCTGATGAAAACTCTGATTTACTAACTATATCAATCAAATTCATTATCACGCCTCTAGCTGCAACACTACCAGGGCACCAAATACCATTAGCTAATACAAACTGAAGACATTTTAATGTCACGACTTGTAAACACACTGCTTCGTCCTCCTCAACCAAAAATGCTGAAAGTAATTCCATATGTGAAGTTATCAGCATAGTCCATCTAGAAGCAATTTTCGTCAGCGATATCAGCATTTCAATTGAAAATGTTTGGTCTGATTGGGCTGAATCTAAAAGCAGTCTCAAACCTGCTTTATATGCTCCACTAGCAACTGAAAGTGCGCAACGCCCCATTTTTGCAAGCGCTCGGCATCCTGCTAACTTGAAAGCCAGCGAAGTTTCCATTGATCCCAACTTAGTGGTAAGTATTCCAAGAAAAATACAAGCAAAATCATCAGCTAATTCAGAAAATCGCCAAGCAGCAAACAAAGAGGCCTTCATTTCAAGGTTATCATCACCATTCGGAAAAGACAAACTCGCAAGTAGAGAATATCTTATACTAGCACAATCCTTAGCAAAATCAGCCCAGCAACCTAACAAATACAATGCCAACGCTCTATCTTCAGTGTCACTATCACCTTCCAATACTACCTTAACTCTTGTCAAAATCTCTAGATAATTATTTAACTTACTTTTCGAGAATACACCTTCTTCTCCTTTATCCCTTTTCCTTCTGCTTTTCAGTTCCGTCAGAAAAATCTTCACGATGCAACGTTTGACCCCTTTGTCTCCTGTTCTAAAAGCATCTGCAAGCCGAAGAAGGATAGCATTCAAGAATAGTTTATCTTCACCAGGAATAAAACCAAACATTTTGTACTCTGCTCTGCCTGAAACTTCAGGTTGTCTATTCCACCACTCAATTCTTTTCCCAAATTTTGATATTGTTTCAATGCGTTTCGAATGAGATTTGGAACGGAGGCCTTTCTCGAGTTCAATACTCCACTCCATTGAATATGCAACAGGAGTTTTCTCCATGGTTTCAATATTTTAATTCCAACTCAATGAAGCAAATTTTTGCAGGACAACTCAAGTATTATCTTCAATGCCAAAGGACAGAACTTGGGAAAATGCGGAAAAATAAGCAAGATATGGTGGCGGATATAGTTAATGTGACTGGAGAAGGGCACACCCAGAACTGAAGAAAGGGAAAAAAAAAAAAAGAAGAGAGTTTTAGGTTTAAGTGGGTGTGCTCTTACAGAGATAAATAGTCGTCCTCCATTGCTGCAGATCCTTGAAAGATTGTGCTGCCTTTTACAAAACACAGTTGGCGGCGGCGGTGGCGGCCGCGGTGGCGGTGGTGGTGGCGGTGGGTTTCCCGGGCGAAGAAAGGAAGAAGATTTATGAGCCGATTTCAATTTGGAAGTATTTATAGTTTAACCTCTACTTCCCTAACTTATTGCAACAATTCCATCTGGGTTTTTGTCGAATCCCCAAAGCAGTAAAAGACGAGTTTTTATATTGTGCACATGGTTCACTAGAGTCTGTATCCAGTATACCAGGGGCACCGTGTACTTTTCTTATTTTTTACACGAATAGTCTTTATTGTACTTTTTATCAATCTTTTAATATTATTTTGCAAGTTTAGTCCTTATCTTTTTTTTTCTATTTCTTTCAAAAAAAAATCTCTAATCTTTCAATGAGCATATCTCCCAATCCGTGAAGAATTTCTGAACGAATTATATATGAAATTTATAGTACTCGTCGAGATCTATCCAACGAAATCCATAGTGAATATTTATTTTGGGCTTAAAAATGTTTAATTCTGATGGACAGAATGGGGTGGATATCCAGTTTTACAAGATGTATAACCAACTTGTTCTAAATTAGTTATCCATCGTGTTCATGCTGATTATCCAATCGGTTTGAACTGGTTATCTATTTTGTTTCTACTGCTTATCCATTTGGTTATCGAACTTCTTAATTCAAAATAAGTTGGTTATTCAAAATATGATGTAATTTCTTATATGGTTAATTAGCCTAGAATTTTTGTATGATTTTAGTTCTGTTTGGATTGAATTAATTAATTGGGTTTTTGTTAGAAAATGTGGTTTTTTAATTTTTTTTTTTATATTTCATTCAATTAGAGTGGTTTTCTTTTTTTAATTATGGAGTCTCGGTTTTTTTTTCGTATATGGTCAGTTATGAAGTGTGTTTTTATTTGTTTAATTGCTTTTGATTTTGTTTCATACTCCCAGTTGACCAAGGATTTGTGAATCAGGACGATATGAATCTATAAATACAAAAGAGAGTATTTATTAACTTCATTTTCATGCCATGTCCTGATTGTTTTTTCTTCCCTACTATCAATAAAGTTGATCTTTTCTATAATTGCATGGATTTCAATTCCGTTTGCAATTTTCGGAGGAGCATATATTTAAAAATACAACGTTTTCTTTTCCGATCGATTGATAGTTGTAAAGAATAAAAATATTTTTTCCCACATGATATATTGACCTTTTAAGTTTATCATTGTTTATCTTTGAAACTGTAGTATCTCCATAACCAGATAATAACCACATGAATTGAAAATTTGTCTTTCAATTTTTATGGTACTGCAAATTTTTCTTATTAAAAAAATGATCCCATTATGAACTTGGGATTAGACTTTATAACCTCGTATTCTTATGTAATTTGAAAGCAAAAAAATGATTAAAACTTTCCCATCAAACTAAAGAAGTTTTTAGAAGGTGTCCGGCAACACCGGAGTTGAAAATTTTATTGTATTTTTAATTCAAATGATACAAAAAATAGCAAAAAAAAAAAAACTCATTTAGAGAAACCCGTGATATGTTTTTAAGTATGTTGTAATTAACAAAGAAATCTTTAACAAATTTGCCTAAAATAACATTAATAGGAGATTAGAATATAGTAGCAATTCCTTTGTACTTAACTCATGATCCTTTACTAATGTGACTACAAAAGCTTGCATCTCAAAACAGTCACATAAACATGACAAAGATCGTACAAAATCAATATGTAAGGCAGGTGGTAGATTTTATTTTGGTGATCATCAGAGCAAAGTTCTCTTTGTTCTTCCATTTTCCTGAATCATAGACAAAATTCACCAAATGATATCTCAAATTTACTTTGATGAAAACTCATCATAGCTAACAAATCCTTTTATCAACGAAAAACAATATACATTCAACACCCAAATATCTAACAAAACTTCAAATTTTATCATAAAATTTTGAATAATTCTCGTTTTGATAAAAAAATTATTTAATTAAACTTATAAACATGTGAAACAATAATATCAGAGAAAAAAAAGTAATCTATGAAATAATAATATCAAAGGTGAGTTAGTGACTTTGCATGCTCAGATTATACCTTCTTGAAATGAATTCCATCTATTCACCAATATTTAGTTTTGCTCTTCTTTTTGTTGTCTTTTTGCTCTTCTTATTGATTCAACTCATCCTCTCCGGTATGAATCCCCTTAAAACATAACTTTAATTTCTGGAAGACGAGCAAAATTTAATAAAAACAAAGAATTGAATTCATTACATAATTAAGATTGTATAACGATTTGAGAAAGAGATATCTTACTTGTCAAATACAACATCATCGGATTGGAGAATAATCGTAAGGAGGGCATTGCCATGAAGATGTGTTACAAAATTATATTAGATGCGTTGCTTGAGTGTTTCACCGGTTGCCGTAGTACATGTTAGACCGAAGTGGATTTTTATAATGGATGAGACATCATAAATTAGTTATTAAAGTGAAAATCCTAATTATAGTATGATATGGGATAAAAATAATAAGGTCACGTCAATTAAGGGATAAGATTTTTTAGTTTTGGATTTTTCATTAACTTACGATGATTGATTTTCTGTATATGTGGTTTTTAACTTTTGTTAAACATAAATTAGATTGTGAATTCTGGATGGCACAGAAAAATATTAATGTACTTGATGAAATAATTACTTTCGGAATTAATATAAATCCATTGTGATCTATTACAAATAAATAATTAATAGAGTTACAAATTATGATATCTCGTGAAAAGAAACTTAAAACTATAACTTAAAAGTTAGACAAAATTACCAACGAGTATTGAGTTGATATTGATAATGATTATGACATTAGGAAGGAAATAATATTTGATTGTGTAGAATTAATATCTGAATTAATAACAAAAGATAAATTCAATAAATTAACAAAGATAAATTTAATTAACATTTTTTAATCAAATAAAATTATTGTTTAATGATAGACCAATTAATAATGTAATAACATGTGTTAGTTGAGTCTATTGATAGCCCAACTACGACACGTGTTAGCCGCACATTGAGGTCGAGTGTATTGTACTCCCTTGTCCAGTTTGAGTTTTTATTTTTAGTTCAAATTGTACTAAAAGTGAAATCTCAAACTGGATAATAATTTTGGGACAGAGGGAGTACATGCGTTGATGTAGTTACATATGGCTTTAAAATCGTTTTCATGATATATAACAAAAGTTAATCTATATGAGATATCTTTGGAGCAAATTCTAATTTGTTTAGATAACTAAGACGTGATTACACAAATACTATATTATTTCTAAATGTATACCAATATACTTTTAAAGTTTCTTACTTTTACAACATTGTCCTTCTAAATGTATACCAATTTACTTTTAAAATCTTTTACTTTAACAACATTAAATTATGTGGCAATTGAATAAGTTAATTTCGTGTATGATTATGTGGATTGCCATGTGTCAATCACACAAAAAAATACAGTTGAAAGGGTTGTTTTCTTATATAATACTCCCTCCGTCCTATAGTTATTGTCCACTTTGCCTAAAAAATTTTGTCCCAAAATTATTGTCCAATTTGACTTTTTATGGATCAAATTACACATTTGTCCTTAGTAAAAAACATTATCCATAAAATCTTAGTGGTTAAACAATTACTTATGTAGGGGTATATCCGGTTGTTTAATGTAAAATATAGTTAAGTTTGACCAAAAATAAAATCTTTCATTTTAATAAAACTGGACAATAATTATGGGACGGAAGGAGTACTAGATTAAGTATTATCGATATAATGGATTTGACATGGTCTTTGTGATTGAAGGCTTTTTGCCTTGATAATAAGTAGTATTAAATATTAATAATTGATTTAATTAATATGAGTCGAGCCCAATTTGAGACTGCCTACCTATATATATATATCAGCAATGATACATTCAGTGACTAAATATAGTGAAAATATATAGTGACAAATTACACGACAAGTATATCATCCACTTGCTAAACATGTTTATTTATTAATTAAGGGTATTGAGGAAAAAATAAAACTTCAACGGGAAAGTAGTAAAAACTAGTAGCCATGATTAATCCACATCAGTTATTATATTTTGTCACTATTTTTATTCACTATATATATCATTTTCCTATATATATATATATATTTATTATTGTAAAAAGTCATGATAATTTAGTTAAAAGAAAAAATTCAGGTTGTTTAAGTGAGGGTTCTTTTATGGCTAGAATTAAGATGAACGAAGCAAGATTCTCTCGTTTCAGCTACATTTTTAAAGCAGATGGTACGTTATTGCTACGATGGTTCGGCAATCTTTTAGTTTAACAACACATTTCTGTAAATTAGCAAAAACAAATCAATAATGTAAAAATTATGGGATATTCATATTCTAAAGCTACTGATTAAACTGATTAGCAGCCATTTCTCATTTTTTTTAAAAAAATATATAAGAAAACATAGTTATGGGCATATAATTAAACTGCCTAGAAGATTCCATCAGTTTCTTTTGTTTTAAATATTGGCCCATGAAGTTTGAACCTCCCAGTATAATATAACATAGTTCCTGGGTCTGATAGCTGATTGTGAAGTGGAGTTTAAACATGAATACCACTAGATGAGTTTTATATTTAATAATATGATACTATTAGCAGTTCAAGGTTCGGGAGATTGATATTAATTTTTTTAAAGATCAAATTGAGATTAGAGTATAATATTATAAAGTTAAGTGTATATCTCAACAATGTTTTAATGCAGTTTGTTCAGGTGTTAAACTTTCTTATTGTACCGAAAATAATTTTTTTTTTAAGAAAAACCCCGACATAAAATAAAAATATTCCATCAAAGGGTGACGAATCGATACAAGTATGGCACCTACTTTTCATTTCATATCAAAGGGAACTTAGTTGAGACAACAAATGAAAGAGGTACATCTCAAAATAGGTAGTATCCAAATAAATCGACTCATAACTGAAAAACTGGATTATCAAAGTTTTATATATAAAAAAACCCCAAACTCTATAATTTAAATGCAATAAGATTATCCTAAATCATAATTTATTGCATTAGTTGCTTTCAAAGAAATAATATCTCGACGGCCCACTCGTTTGTTTCACAAATAGGGCTGCTTCAACGTTAAACTTCTCCGTCTGCTGACTAATGACCTAATTAATTGTCGTATACTATTACTAAATTTAATTTTAATTTTGACCCATGTGTTTGGTTTAGATTTTAATCTAAAGCGATGCATGTTAGATAGAGACGGTATATGAAAGAACACAACGTTGGAATTAACCGTCAGACAATTTTTGTATGTTGAATATTTTCTCCGTCCAAAAATAAGAGTCGTTGAATTACATTTTTAATTTAGAAGAAGATGCATTATACCCATTATGAGTTTAGAGCAAATTTTGTGTTGAACCTGAAATTGAATTGAGCATGAAATGCTGGACAGCATTGGAAGCACTCGTTGACATAAATTTTAATTGAACTTGTAATGCTTATATGATGTCATATGGCACCAAGTGGAGGCAATTCTGCAAATATAAGTTAGCTTCAAAAGCAATAATACAATTAGTAAAAAATTACTGTAACTTTAAATTTACATAATTGCTAGTTGGTACAAACAATCACAACTAATCAATGATATAAGGGTAATTTAATGACATCTTTGCAAAATTCACAAGACTTTGCAAAATTCAAAAAATCGGAATACGAATAAAGAAATGCAAACAACCGTCTATCTATCAATATATATATATATATACATATATATATATATATATATATTCTATTTTGGTTTTTGGGAGTACAAAAGGGAGGCCAAAAGGAAAAGAGATGCTTATTTTAAAAACAACTAATTGGTACAAAATGACATGAAGCTGATGAAAAAGTTTGAAGAGCAATAAAACCCAAATCAGAAAATTGCCAGAAAGTGATCGATGCACATGCTGTTCACTTCGGTTTTGCCAATCTAATTCTGACCTCAGAAACACTGTCTTTAGTTCGTTAGTTTGGACCATTCCTTTGCATTATTTTAATTCCATTAAGAGACCAACATTTCTTTCTTTATTTTTACTATTTTCCTAGTTGGCGTTTTTTTTTATTTCGGGGTATTCCCAATAGTACTGTTTTTTGTTTTGTAATGAGGGAAAAAAAATTGAATGCCTATATATTTAGTCTAAAATATTCAGTTTACTTTAAACTTCTCCTTTTTTTAAAAATAAAAAAATAAAAACTTATCTCTTATTTGTTTAGTGACATTAGTTGGTGTGCCTATAAATAGTGCTTCACCAGTTCCAGTTCATATTAGTACATTGATTCTTGAGCGGTAATCTAAGGAATGGCGTCAAAGGAATCAGCAGTTGCTCAAGCTCTTCCTTTTCCTTTAGATCTTCCCACAACAAGGTAACTTCAATTCCTCTACTCTTTCTATATATTGCCCTTTTTTTTTTTTCCCTTCTCGTACCATAATTAAATAATGATGGATTATCATAAAATTGCGTTAGACACAACTTTCATCTATTTAGAAATTAATCCAGATGATTGAATAAGTGAAACAAAAAAAAAAAAAAAAACGAAGTTCTTAATAACCAAAAAAAAAAAAGGACTAAAATGATTTGAGCTGTTTGTTACAGGTGGTGGACTAAGGACACAATTGCAATTGTGACAGGAGGCAATAGAGGGATTGGTTTTGCACTGGTAAAAAGGCTGGCTGAATTAGGATTAACTGTGGTTCTAACAGCAAGAGATTCTTCAAAGGGAAAAGAAGCAGTTGAAGCCCTCAAATCCATTGGACTCAGTAATAATGTCCATTTCTTTCCCCTTGATGTTTCAAACCCTTCTTCCATCACTAGATTTGTATCCTGGTTTGAAGCAAACTTCTCAGCTTTGGACATTCTGGTGAGCCATTCAATTTATTTCTTCACATGTAATTGTTGATTTTCTTTTACCTTAACTTTTTTTTTTTTTTTTTGCTCATCATAAGTTTTCTAAATCATCTTTTAATTTGAGATACTAATTATGTCAACTCCACTGAAAACATAATTCTTTCTTTTTCCCATTAAGCTCATGGTGTGTTTACTTGAGAATATACCCCATATAGTAAGATGATAATTAAGAAGATAGTTTAACATAATTCATTCATAATCCTCCCTATTTTAAAAGCTAATAGTACCGCCCAAACAAAATATTGTAAAGGGAACGAGTACGTTTTCCACAAAACGATAACAAAGTTCATTTTCACCTGTACATTATATCTTAAAGATTATTAACAAAAAAAAAAAAACCGAAAAGATACTATAGTGCATGTATAAACATCAATTACTAGTTCGGTGATTGGCCAACCAATTAAGGCATGCATCTTCCGTTTTCTATTTTTAATTGTTTGGGGTAATGGGTATGATCTCAGCAAATTAAAGAGATTCAACTTTCAACTACTCCGTTTGTCTGTCATATTATAAAAATCTAAATGAAGTTGTATCCATTGATGATGAAGTGATTAGAGAATTTCCAAAAAAAGGGTTTTACATTTTGAAGAATATTGCGCTTGAAAAGCCAAAGGTACTGTCTCGAAGACTAACCCTTTCATATTACAAAAATGATTAGGTGCATAGTAATGGAATTAAAATTTATTGACCATTTTCTATTTTGATGACAGGTAAGTTATTCTTCTTTTTTTAAAAAAAAAAAAAAAAAAAAACAAAATTTTGCTACACCATTTAAAGAATAGTGCATTTGAAAAGCCAAAGGTCACACACACGAACAGATATAGTCTCGAAGATTGACCCTTTCACGTTGCAAAAATGATTAGATGCATAGTAATAGAATTAAAAATTGACCATTTTCTATTGTGACGACAGGTTAATTTCTTCTTCCTTTTTTTTTTTTTTTAATTTGTTCTACATCATTTGTTGTTGAAACATGTTATAAGAGTTTATCACGATATTCTGTCTCGTTCTTTATGTTGCAATTAGTTCTTGGGAAGGAATTCAACAAACTAAATGAAGTGTATAACTCAATAGAATAAATTCAAATAAATATTTCAAGAAATGCATACAATTAATTGTGGGTTGGGTGAATTATTTTGGTTACAGATAAACAATGCGGGTGTATCTTTCAATGACATTGATGAGAACTCAGTGGAGTACGCAGAGATAGTAATTAGAACCAATTTTTATGGACCAAAACTACTGACGGAGGCTCTCTTGCCCATCTTCCGCAGGTCAAGTTCCGTTGGTCGAATTATAAATATTAGCTCCAGACTTGGTCTACTAAATGTAAGTTAATTACTTATCTTCCATCTCAAAATAATTAGCTCCATTAAATTTTCATTAATTAAGAAACTCATTTTATATACTTCCCTATATTTCGAAACGAAAAAGGAGAATATATTGTTAATTTTTAAAATTTTTGTTTTGTAAATTATACTCCTTTGTTCAGGAAAAAGAATAACCTATATTGAGTTTTCGGATTTGTATTGTATTTAGTACAAAGTTAAAAACTCAATATTTTTGGGGCCAGAAGTATTTTTTTTTTAATTATGAAATTGTTAGTTAATTAGACAAACACGATCCATTAATATAGTACAATTGTTCTTGCAGAAACTTCAGAACCCAAGTCTACGAAAAATGCTCATGGACGAAAACAACTTGTCGGAAATGCAAATTGAGAAAATTGTGACATTATTTCTGGAAGATGTGAAGAATGGGACGTGGAAAAATGGAGGATGGCCACACGTATGGACAGATTATGCAGTTTCAAAGCTTGCCCTAAATGCATACTCAGTCGTGTTGGCCAAACGTTACAAAAATTATGGGATAAGTGTTAATTGTTACTGTCCCGGTTTTACTCAGACTTCAATGACCAAAGGAAAAGGCAAATATACCACTGATGATGCTGCCAAAGTCGCTGTGAATATTGCTTTGTTACCACCTCAAATTTTACCGACGGGTAGATTTTTCACTGTTAGCAATTCATGTGGCACTTTTTCGAAGCTGTAATATAATGAAGAGTGTGTTTAGAATTAATTGCGATAATTAAGGATCGATGCAAGAAGAAATTAGTTTCCCTTAATGGATTAAGAAAAAAATATTTGCATAGTGCAACATCGAACTCATGCCCTTTATATGCGTTTTTATATTTTTAGAGTAATTAGCTACTTTTGAAACTTCAAATTATGTCAATCTTATGATAGCTTGATGGTGTTGGCACTTGTGAACACCATACCAGGGGGATGTTTGTGATATTCGCGGCTGTTTCCATCCATTTATATCATATTTTCAGATTTCGTATTCGTTATGCAACTGCGTCTTAACTTGTCAATAAATTAAAGTAACATTTTAGCAACTTGAATTTCATCAGATGTACGAATTCTTTTTAATTGATTGTGAATAAAGTCAACTAAATTCTTTTTAGTTGATTGGGTGTGAGAAAATATATATCTCATTATGTTTTTCCTTTCATCTCAAAATTAAATTTTTCTTTGTTAATAAAATAAAATAAATAAACAGGGCTCTCTTCTTTTTTTTTTCCTACTCTACGGTATTGGATTAAAGCTTAATCATGAATCCTAAAAACATATCTATGCATGTCCCCGCTCCCGATTAAACTAGGTCATAGTTTAACTAATTTAATACTTTTACCACTTGAATAAGGTATTTATTAGTTGGTTTTTTTAAAATTCTTTGATTCATAATGCATTCATATGATGAGAGAAACGGCTGATTAGTCCGTTAATAATTTTTAATAGATCTTTATATGATGGAATCTCACAATAGGAGTTGGGTTAATGTAATCTACAATGCATGAATCCACCCACATGGTGATGTAAATTAATCAAGTGGTGAAGAATCTACCCCTTTCTCATTGTGTATATCTTTCTTTCGTTCAGTGTGTTTCCGTGTATACATTGCATTAGCATTTCAAAGTAAATAAGTCCACCTTTTTAGTCAACAAAATTTATTTTAATAACTTAATTATTATTGTAAAAACACATTGTCAACTCTTAATTAAAATCAAACATAACGAACTCTGATTAAGCATGCGATTAGGCAGATTATGGAACAAGTGGAATGACTATCCGAGCATATATACAATATCTTTTTATTTATTTTTTAATTTAAAGTAAGAGTTTTCCCATTGGTTTTTCCCTAAAGAAACACGTGTTGATTTGGATTAACGGTTTATTTTGGTATTAAATTATTTTTGCTGACGTTTATTTAACTTTTATTTTTCTTTTGGAGGTCAAACATAGTTCAGGTTTTTGGCCTTAATTACTGGTAGTTGTTGGAATTCTACTTCAAGAATAGTGGACAACAATGACTGCACTAGATCAAAGAATAAGAACAAATATTTATAGTTAAGACAAAAGAAAGTTGTCTCCAAGTCACAAGTAAACTTGTTTTTCTTTAGTTAAATTCGCCCACTATACAGTGCAATTGTCTATGCGAATTCCTTATGAGATAAAATGGAGATCATGTTGTTTCACTATGCACTTTAGTGAACCAATAACCTAATACAAGGATAAGAAATGTCATTGGAAATATTCCAAGTATTTAGTGATTTCATTGTACACTAAAAGCATCCAAATAATCTATATTTATAGAGTTCGAGAAAACTCTTGAAAATTAGACGTAACCATTGGTTATAGTCCTAGACATAACTTTTCGTTAATGTCTTTTCATATGGAGTCCATAGGCACAACCTATTAATTGTATTTCTACAATATATTGAAAATACCCAATAGGCACAATATATTAATTGTATCACTACAATATATTGAAAATAACTCCAACAGTAGTATGTCATAGTAGCATTCAACAACACGGGGTCAGTGTACATTCTTTTTAAAGCAAGTGAACACAGTTATAATGACTAACCACTTTATACTAAATTAAGTGCACATTTTATTTATTTGAGTATTAAGATACAGAGAAAATTAGAGGAAAATATGACTTAAAAGGTAGTAAGAAAGTATTAATAAATTGTACAATTTGTGTCTCAAAAATAATTTATATTGAGTTTGAAATTTGTCTTTGTACATATATAATTTTTAAAACTTGATCGTACTTGGCAACTTTTCGTACTAGTGCTAATTTCGTCCCATTTAATAATAAAAATTCAACGAAGGAGAGACACTTATTCATTTTTCCAAGAGGGGCAAAAGATTAATGTAATGCTATAATTAGATTTCTGTCGGGTTTGTTACTTTTAACTTTATTTGTGTTTCTTTCAGCCAAACATTCGCCTAAACCCTGGAGCCAGAATTAATAATTCCCAGCTAATGAAAAGAATGTACTGTAGCATGCATAATTAATACGGAGTACTATGTATAGTACTAGTTCAAAAGCGACACCAACGTTATTGTATTATAAGCAATTTGCATAACTAATGTCGTAGCTAATGAAATGTACATATTCTTTGATTTCTTTCCCATGAAAAGAACACACTGTGTGAAAATAAAATAGGTCAGCAGCTAGTTAATTATTTAACCATAATCACATGCGTAAGGACATATAGTTTTTCTTTCTTTTCTCTTTTTTTTTTTTCTTTTTATGATTCCCAACGAAATTTGAACTTTTGATGTCCCATGATTACAGTAATCTCCCATCCTTATCATACCATCCAATTTCAATGTTTTTTTTTTTTTTTGCTCCGCTTAAAAATAATTTTCGTGAATCGCTAAAACAGATGAGACAATGAATGAAAAAAAAAAAAAATGCATGATTTGAACCGTACTTGAGATCAAAATAGCAAACAACATATTGGGTTGATAAATTACCATCTGGAATAACGAATTTATTTTTATATCCCACAAATTCTATAAGTATTACCACGTAGTTGGAATAAGATATTTTTAATGGGATTGATAGAGTTATTTTTCCAAAAAAGAAAAAACAATTTCTGCAGTCCATTCGTTTCACAAATAAGACTGCTTCAACGTTTCCTATTACGTTTAAACTTCATTCTGCTGACTATATGACGTAGTTAACTGTGGTACCATTACTAAATTTGCTTTCATTTTGACCCATGTGCTTTTAATTTTTATTATCAAAACCGTTTAAATTAATACTTATCTGTTTTAAAATAAGTTTAAGGTTCCAGGGGCGGAGCCAAGCCCCTAAAATATGATGAGACAAAATTTTCAACACTTGTAAATTAATACACTTCCCCCTTATTATCTTAAATTTAGGTGGGGCAAAAACCGATATTTTGTAAAAGAAATCTAAAATTTCAAGGTTTAACTAGCAAAATAAAAAATTTTAGTTAGGGCAATTGCTCCACCTCAGGTGTATGTACCTCCGACCCTGTAAGGTGTTTTGGCCAGAAGAATTACAAATTAAATGAAAGACTAAGTTATGTATGGTTTACTAAAGGGAGGTGACAAATTGAGAGCTATAATTTTATGTTGAAAACAAAATTTTTTAAATTACCAATATTACTCTCAAATAAGATTTTAATACACCATACTTATTAGTCCTTGAATTCTCCCTTTTTTCCTTAATTCCACCTCTTTTTACAACATCAACAAGGAAAAAAAATACTCCCTCCGTCACATAATTATTGTCTAGTTTGTGTTTCCATTTCTAGTTCAAATTGTACTAGAAGTGAAATCTCAAACTGGACAATAATTATAGGACATGGGAAGTAATATCTACTTAAGAAAAGAATGAATTACAACACCAAAAATCTAATCTGTAAAAGAAAAATACGATAACCTAGCAAAATAACTAAAAATGGTTTCTTTACTGGCTTCAATTAACAACATACTATGTTATTATTTTCCTACTTCTACGGTTTGAGATATGAGATTTCTCCATTCTGTTTTTTGACAGAATTCTGGAAAGGTTCTGTACATTGATAAGAAACGATAATCCGGCTACTGCCATGTAATAATTATCTATACACACAACTGGAAAACTAAACTACCTGCCCTGATTACAATCAACATTTTATTCACAGCAAATGTACAAACTACAACTGTAATTATACAAGTTCTACAGAGATATTGTGTTTTAGTATTGTGGCTTCTTTGGTGTTGTTGAAGGGTTCATTAGATGAAACAACTAGAATTATTGCAGTTATGAATGGAAAAAGAGAGACCTGTTGATGGCTTGCAACAAATGACTTTTATGAGCAGTTTATTAGGTCTCAAAGTTTATCTCCAGTGTGGCATCATCAGATGCATTACTCAGCTTTGGATTTTCGAGTTTGGTGGAAAGTATCACTAGTGGAGTGAAGGAAAAAGTTAGCCTTCCCATTCAATTAGTGAATACTTTCAGGTGTTTTTATCTATTGAACTTGGACAATGGTGTTCATAAATCAAGCAATGAGGGCTGCCAAAATGTATCTATGAACCATATTCAACTAATCAAAATCTTGCATATAGTTAGGCTTTAACCATAACCTGATATCAATTGTCTCAATAGTTTTGTTCTGAGAACCCGTGTTTGGGTCTACCATGATGTAGTGGATGTTTTGTATCCTAGAATTTTAGTTGTGTAATTCTAAGGCAATGTGGCTTCATTTTGAATTAAAAAAATAAAAACATATTTTTGCCATGGGATGTATATATGCCAGAAAGAATTTTCTTATAATATTGACTTATTAAACATTCATTTAAAAGTGAATTCCGTTGTTAGGTATGATCTCTTCTTGGAAAAATATGATGATTGGGTGATGTTGTACTGGGTTTTTCCTCTAGATCGGTACATGCCTATCATACGATTATATATATTAAAACGGATTATTTTTAGAAATGTACACTATTGTTTCCTCATTCATTAAAAATATGTTTTTCTTTAACCTGTGCTGTTTTGTTTTCCAATTGTATATTATTATCTTATGGTTTTTTTAATTTCTAATTTGAAATGTAGGGGGCCGCTTGGGCTGATGCCCGAGCCAAGTATCTAGTAAATAATTACAAACTGAAAATTATTGACTGACGGAATGATTAATTTCAAGCACTATTTACAATTGCATTGAGCTCTTCAGGAATTTAAATTTAGCACTGATCAAATCATAGACTTTCCGATAGTTTAGTGACGTTTTAGGCAGTTCGCACTTTGTATAATTAATGTTACAAGTTTTTTTAAGGGGATGTTGTAGCTAATGAGATGTACATATTCTTAGATTATCTTTCTGATGAAAGAACACACCCCTAAGTAAAAATAGCTCAGCTTAATTATTTAACCATTATCACATGCCTAAATGCATTTTCTTTTTCTTTTTTTGGTTGGATATCTTCAAAATACTTTCATGAATCACCAAGATGGATGAGACAATGAATGAAACAAATGCATGGATTTCAC